AAGAAAGAAAAAGAAAGAAAAGGGGGATGCAAAGTAAAAGTAGTGTGCTATACTGCTCCTACTTTGCATTCCCTCTTTTCTTCTTTTTTCCCTTCTTTTTTTCTTTTACCTTTTTCGACATTTGCATTGTCCCATCTTGTGCATGAATCAATGACACATGGCTTTGCTATAGCAAAGATGCCTATGTGATGTTGGATTGAACAGAGCATTGAAATTCATTCAGTTTAATTACAAGCTGATCAGTCTTGCAATAAGTGCTTCCTGTCTATCATCACACATGCTCAAATGAGTGTTGGTTTGCTGGTGTTTATGGCAATGAATTTATCCAACACGAAAATATCTTGCCTTGTGAACTTTGTCAGACCTGCCTTTGTTTTTCTTTCCTATGCAGACATTGTATGTAAGGATGGCAGTTACAGAGAGGTGATAGCTTGAGCTTCGGAAGAATAAATACTGGCAGGCCACATCAAACATCCCAGCCATTTTGCCAACCATCCTAAATGTATTGTGAAAAAAAAGTATTGTGCTCATTTACTGTATTGAAAACAGCAAAATGCTAAAATATATCGCAGAGAACAAAATACTAGGTCACCTTGGTGCCTTCTGGACTTCCCAGATGTCCCCGGGGTGTTGTTTGTAAAAAAAAATATTTCAAAAATACTGCCTCTTCTTCACCAATATTGGTCTAGGTATTAAGTAAAGGTGATTGTGTGTAGTGCATGAAGCTCAGTAATACTAGTGCAATTTTTTTCGCCACATCAAAAGCAAGAAAGCAGTTCTCTTTATATGGCAAATTATGAGATTACACTTTTTGTTTTAAAGAAGAAAATAATTTTTGAAGTTTCCCAGTGATGGCTGTTTCCGCATTTGATATACGACAGCTTCTGTCCCGAAGTTCTCCATGGCCCTCGATAGGAGACTTCAAAAATCATTTTCTTCATTGAAACAAAATTGTAATGATAAAACTTGCCATATAACAAGAACTGTTTATTTGCTTTCAACTTACACATAAAAGTAATTTTCAATTAGATAAACATATAGTGCAAATTGCATCTCATTGTGGACAAAAAGAATGATATAGTGAGATTTGTAATCTGGACCTAACAATATTTTTTTTTCGTGAAATATACCTTCTGTGGAGTAAGTATTTATGGCTCAAATATTCATACAAAGTGCAGTATTGCCATAGAAAAAATGCAAATGATAAACAGTTTGGCTGAATTCTGCAAAGCCTTTGTGGCGGAAAAATTGCACTAATGTTACTCAGCTTCAAATACTTTAAAGAGGCACCTTTACTTATTATGTAAATAAAATTTGATATGGCAAGAAAAAGCGGTACTTTTACATTTTGCTCAGAAACAACGCCCACACGACATTTTGGAAAGTTTTGAAGGTACCCACGTGACGACTATTTTTTTCTCTTCAAAATATTCTAGCAAATAACTGTTTTCAAAAGAGTAAATAACCACAATTTTTTTTAACTATATATCTGTGATGGTCGCCAGGCAGTATGGTTTGGATGTTTGGTGTAGAATGGCCCAGTGGGAAAAACAACAAATGTCTGAGCATCCTTTATCGCTCGGGCAATTTCGAAAGCATTTTCTTGTTAGCAGCAATTCAATTAAGTCCTTGTCTCCATGCTTATGCCCAGAAACTAATCACAAGCAACCAAAGTAGTCCTAAGAGTCGTCCAGTTTCACTGTTCTAAGGCTTGTGCAGCCTAATTTAGTGCAAGCTTCACCATTTTTTAAAAATTCAGATTCGACCAACAGGTTTTAGAGGCACAGTGCATTCTCAGCTAAATTGTTTCACACCAGTTACTTAGATAAAAAGCGGCAAGTAGAGGTAAAAATACCATTTTAAAGGTTTGTAGGTAATGACAAAAAGGTCTGCTTTCTTTTTTTTTGTTTGGTGCTTTGCCTGAATGCTGTCCTTTTTGTAGTACAGTTCATTGCCTAGCGAACATAGGCCTTAAGAACTAACATTAGCCATGTTGAGCTCGATTTTTTGGTTATAGTTATAGTAGCCTAGCCATATTGAAAATTATGACTTCAAATATGATTTTTCTCTGGAAGATTTTGTCTTGCATAATGATATTTCAGAGTCTTAGTCAATTTTGTTAATATAAAACGTGATGTCATAATAGAGTCACTTTTTATAGAGTCGTTCAGTTCTACCTCATCTTTTACATTCCTAATAGAGCAGTTATTTTCAATATCGGCACTTAAAATGGAATGAGCATGCTCTATATACTAAGGTGTAAGCACTTACAGATGGCACATGCACCCAACTCTTGTGTTGGCAGTTCATTTCTGTTATTCTTGATTGATATGTGGGGTTTAACATCCCACAACCACTATATGATTATGAAAGACGCCGTAGTCGAGGGCTCTGGAAATTTCGGCCACTTGGGGTTCTTTAACGTACACCCAAATATGAGCACATGTGCCTATAGCATTTCTGCCTGCATCGGAAATGCAGCTGCTGCAGTTGGGATTTGATACCGCGACCTGCGGGCTAGCAGCCAAATTTCTGTTACTCTTGCTCCCCTATTTCTGTACAAATAGGCTATAGTAGTCTGGCTTGCACAGATTTGTAATGGCACCTGCTTGATCCTGCTTGCTTTCATGGTGATTTTAACCTTCATAAGTTACATAATTTTACGTCTCAAAATTGTTCAAGATGCCAATTTTGTGCACAAACTGTATAGATTTAAGGCAGCAAATGTACATGTACGCACTATTAAATGCACATTGATAGCTTTTACTGGCAGTTCTTAAAATTTTAGTGTGCAGGAAGCATTTAAATGATAATTTTATAATGGCATATCAATAGAATATCTCTACCATTGAAAATCGTGATAACAACCTAGTTATTTTCACTATGATAAGCATGCTGTTTTCTTTCATGTGGCAGAACTAATTTATACACTTCTATTATTCACATGAGCATAACATGAAGGACTGTGTGCCTTTCATTTTCAGTTTCATTCTGTGTGTTATATTTCTTGTGCATGTGAACTAAGGTGCTTACATTTGTCTCTGACATCATTTGTGCCAATTATTTACATTTTCAGGTGCCTATGAAGGACACATCAAGTTCTATGGCAGTGACCTCCCAAATCCACGGTGGTTCCGGAGCCTCAAGCAGCATTTCGTCAATCTCCACAAGGCGTTTATAAGTAAACACAGCACCACACTTTCACAGTGCTATGAATAATATTTATGTTTAAAGATTTGGTTCCGAAATTGCAGTTACATTGTGTTTTGTGCCACCATCCTGTGGCTTAGGTGGAGCTTGTGAAATTACGGTGCAGTCACTTCATTTGCGTACCATCAACTTTGCAATGTGGCTACTTACAGCTGCAGCATAGAGACAATTAAAAAAGTATATTCATTGTAGCAGGGCTGATGTGTATATTAATGGTTCTCTAATGCAATTATTAACATTATAAGTTTTTTTTAAGTCTTGCATAGAACACTGCATTATTTTGTTGCAATGTTACCACCATTTATGAACGCTAGTATGTTAATTCAGTAGCTTTGTAACATATTTTACCTAAAAGCTAATTTTGCTTCGGCATCACGACAATTGGAAAGATGCCGTTGATTCAATCCCTCATCATGCATCTTTAAGAAATATTGTGATTTGTACACAGTATTGCATGTACTAAAGATGTGGACGTCTATTCAGTATACACATTATATTGCTTTGCACCAGATTCGGACGGTCGTTTCATTTCCGCATAATTAATATGGCTTTCCTTATCTGCGGAGCCTTCCGCATCATGCGGCTTTCCTTATGTGCGGACCTTTTCGCATCCTAGGTTTTCCTTATTTGCGGAACATTCTGTATCATACGGCTTTCTGTAGTCCAATAATGGCGTATGTGGGTAGCCGCACATAGGGAATGTTTCAGTAGAGATGAGCGTGGGGTCCACAACATTTCCGCCTCCATCAGAAATGCAGCCGCCGCAGCCTGGATTCGATCTTGCGACCTGTGGGTGAGCAGCCGAGTACCTTAGCCACTAGACCACCGCGGCGGGGCTAAGGTCGTCCTGTGTAAATATGTTGTCACATACCAGTAATATTTCTCCTCTAGCCATACATATACAGGGTAAACAGGCCAGTGCGAAAATTTGAGGCTTCCTGGACATAATTCATTAAAAATATCAACAAACATGTCCAAGAAATATTTTCACTGTGAGTGTGTAGCATTTTTTCAGCACACTGAAATGTTGTTCATGCATAATGACAACTACACAATAGAAATGTATAGAAATGTCCACATATCTCGAAGAACTCTGTGATTGCTGCTGTAGCCTCGAGGGACGAGCAGAGCCAGTGTGGCCGTGAACGAAGAACAGTAAGAAGGTTTATTACTACATGAATACGGAGTACAAAAGAGCACTGGGCGCCCGGTTCACAGCGCTTATATAGCCATGAAGCACCGGCGCTATCAGCGTGACGTCACACAGGCTTCCAATGACACCACACTCCTTCCCACAATGTTTATGGCCTATACCAGTAGGGAGGTTTTCTTGCACGAGCACTGCGTCGAAGAGTCTGAGCACCTAGAGGAGACACAGGTAATCGCAGAGGGGACGTTGCCGGAGCAGAGTCTTGATGTGGACTTGCATTTGGTTGTTCCGAGGGAGCTGAGTCTCCGGGTTGATCCGGCGGTGCAGTAGCAGACCTGGGAGATGCATGAACCGGAAGGGGACGGGGCTCGTACGAGGGGTTTCGGACCCAGGGTCCGGAATCGAGCTAGGCACGAAACAGGGACGCTCACTGGGGCCTTCTTCGCCACTCTCAAAGTAGCGTGGACGCAAATCGTCTACATGCATGAACCTGTTTTAAGATCCTACACGTACAAGTTACGCAACGGCACTGCACCTTCTTTCTATGACACCTATCTGCTACTTGGGATCACCTGGACGAAGGCCTTGAACCAGAACGCTTTCCCCCTCTTTGTAAGCTCTTTCTGACCCTCTTCTTTCATCAACTTGGGCCTTTACTTTGGAGAACCGTTCTTCCATCCGTCTCTCCAGGTCTGGCTGTAGCATAGTCGGACGAGTGCAGGGCGACCACGACAAAAACTGTTCTGCCAGTGTCTGCCCCGTGGTTGTGGTCGGTGTGTTCAGGTACCTGAACAGAAAGAGATCCATGCGTTGCTGTAGGGTCTTACTCTGGCCCGATGACCTTTCGTCCAGAAGCTGTCGGGTAAGATCCCGTTTCACTCTGGACGCATCTCTCGGCGCTTCCATTGGGCGCCGGGTGGTATGGAGGTGTTCTGGTGTGCCGCACACCGTTCTTAAGCTGGAACTCTGTGAAAGTCTTTTCCGTGAACTGAGGCCTGTTGTCTGTAACAACCTCCTCTGGAAGGCTATACGATGCAAACACCCCACGCAGCCTCTCGACGGTCTTCTCGGTCGTTGTTGAATTCATCACAAACACCTACACCCACTTCGAGAGTGCATCCACCAGCACGAGGAGCCACTTGTTGTCTGTGAATGCGAAATCCAGGTGGAGTCGCTGCCATCTGCGGCTCGGCCAACCCCAAGTTTGTAGTGGGGCCTTAGGTGAAGCGTTCTGCGTCAACTGACAAGTACAGCAACTTTTAACGATATTTTCAATATCTTGGTTTAACTGAGGGCACCAGACATAGCTGCGCGTGAGCATTTTCATATGCGTAACTCCGGGGTGACCTTCATGACAAAGTGCCAATAGTTGTTTACACAAACAGTGCGGAACAATTACCCGATTTCCCCACAAAACGCACTGCTGATCTACGGATAGTTCATACCGGCGAACAAAGTACGGTTCGAATTCACTATCAGTGACATGCGTAGGCAAGCCGTTTTTCGTGTACCACAACACTTCCGATAGCACTCTATCAGTACTCGTTTTCTTGCTGATTATGTTAACAGACAGTGGAAGTGAATTGACAACAGAGAAAAATTGTACATAATCTGAGACATCTCGCTCATTTGCCAACGGCAATCGCAAAAGCGCGTCAGCGTTTCCCATGTTACTGCCTTTTGGTACTCCCATCTTTAATTGTAGGCCACTAGTAGCAAAGCCCATCGCTGCATGCGCGCTGCAGACATTACTGGAACTGGTCTGCCGTGCCCCAGAACGCTGGCTAATGGCTGGTGGTCCGATTAAATGACGAAACTACGCCCAAATAGGTATTTGTGGAACTTTTTCAGCCCAAAGACCACGGCGAGAGCCTCTTTTTCAATGTGAGCATAACCTTTCTCTGCTTTGCTCAGTGCCCTAGACGCATAAGCTATAGGTTTTTCCACCTTATCGATCTTATGAAACAGAATGGCGCCCACGCCATACATGGATGCGTCACACACGAGCCCTATCTCTTTCGTTGGGTCGTAGTATGTCAAATCGTTTCCTTCCGTCAACCACGTTTTACTTTGCTGGAACACTTTCAAATGGTCCCTCACGGGACCATTTGAAACCTTTTTCTTAGTTCAACACGTCATACAGTGGTCTGAGTCTTGTGGCCACGTGGGGAACGAACTTAGCATAAAGCATAATTTATCAACCCTAAGTAAGCTCCTAACTGTGCCTTATTCGCAGGTGCAGGAGCCTCCGTTATAGCTTTTACTTTTTCCTCTGACGGGCGTATGCCCTTTTCGTCGAGAACGTGCCCCAAATACAGAACGGAAGTTTGAAAGAACTTACATTTCTCTTTTTTCAGTCGAATGCCTCTTTCTAGAAACCGGGGCAGCACAATTTCCACTTTATGGAAAAATTCTTCAAAGGTAGCTCCTTCTATCAGCACGTCGTCTAGATAGCACGCTACCCGATCAAGTCTTTTCAACTCGTCACCCATAACTGCCTGGAAAATCGAAGGTGCACTCGTTACGCCATCGGGTAAGCGCGTATACTTGAATAACCCCAAATGCGTGTTGATCACGACTAGCGACTGCGCTTGGGGATGCAATTCCAGCTGCTGGTATGCAGTGGACAAATCCAACACCGTGAAATATTTGCAACTGGCCAGCTTTACAAACAGATCCTCAATCATCATGGCAAGGGGGTAATGATCAGTTCTTGGGCATAGGTTTAGTGTCACCTTGAAATCCCCACACACCCTGACCTGGTTGTTTGGTTTCGACACCACTACTAGTGGGGTCGCCCATTCACCCTGCTGAACAGGTACTAGCACTCCGGTTTTCACGATGTTCTGCAGTTCCGAAGACACTGCTTCTTTAACTGAAAATGGTACCACCCGCGCTTTACAAAAAACGGGTGTGCTATTATTATCTTTAAGCTCTAACTTAATGGCCTTGTTCTTAATTAGACCCAAGGTAGGCTCAAAAATCTTAGCATATTTTTCCAAGCAGGAATGCCACTTTATCCAAGCAAACCCCATGCACACTAGCCCAGTCTAACTTCAGTGCTGGCAGCCAGTCTCGCCCCAACAGCCTAGTGTTAGTACTCTCGTTAGTTTTCACGACAATTAGCGGAAGTTGCTTGTGTTGACCATTGTGCTCTACGGAAACATTTAGCTTCCCTTTTACCGTCAGCGGAGTGCCACCGTAGGTTTTTAGCTTAAGCCTGCATGGCTCTAAGGGTAGGCTGGGCCAGTATTCCTTGCACAGTGACTCTAGTACAATTGACACAGACGCCCCTGTGTCAATCTGCATGCGCACACTTTTCTGATCTAGCTTCAGGCAAATTTCGTAGAGTCTGGTGCACCCCTCACAGGAATAGATATTGTACAGCACATGTTCACCCGCGTCACTTTCCTCGTCTATCACGTTCGCAGCGTCTCTACCTCTATCCCTACACATCTTCGCTAAGTGTCCAACCCGTTTACACACCCGACATTGGTACTTGCGAAATTTGCAGATACATGCTTCATGCTCTGAGCCGCATCGGAAACAGTGCAGTGGTTCCGCCCCCCTGGTGCCAGCAGGCATCCCCGAAGTTTCTTCTCTCCAGTGTGGTGGGCGTTTCTCGCTATCTGTTTTGCGGTTAAAGGTGCTGATCATTCCTTGCGCCGCCTTGGGCTGAAAATTCTGGCTTTCTTTCCTGGCCAACTCGATACTTCTAGTGATATCGCAGGCCTCTTTAAAAGCCAGCTTGCTTGTCTTTAGCAGCTCTGCTTGTGTTTTTTTGTCGCAAAGTCCTGCCACAAACCGGTCGCGCAGCGCGTCGTCCAGAAACGTTCCGAAATTACAGGATGTCGCCAACCACTTCAGCTCTACAGCGAAGGCTGTCACCGCTTGCCCATCTTGTTGAAAACAACGATTGAATTTGAAACGCTCGGCAATCATGGAAGTTTTGGGAACGTATTGCTCTTTCAGTGTCTGTACTAACTGTGCGTACATGTTGTTTTCTGGCTTTTCTGGCTGCAGCAGCGTTTTCAGCGTTCCAGTGTTCTAGCAACGTTTGCAGAGTTTTGTAGGCCTTCTTTCCTATTGCCGTTATGAACACTGACACCTTCAGGTTGTCGCTCACCTGGGAGGCCTTCAGAAAGTGGTCGAACCACTCCACGTAGGACTGAAAATCTTCGTCACTGTCCTCGATGAACTGATCGAACCTTCCCAACGTCGCCATCCTGCCTGTATCTTCACAGCCCTATCAGCGTGACATCACACAGGCTTCGCATGACACCACAATTGCTATAGCCAACTTTCCTTGGAATTATCATCAAAAGAAATAGGCCTGTTAGACAGCGGGGGCTAGGAAGCTCACACAAGACTGTGCCTTACGGGTCGAGAGGTATATAATTTTTGACAATCAGCATGCGCGCTCGGCTTTAGGAAAAGTACATGTAGTTTATTTTCGATAAACCAGTTGTAAATTTTGCTCCGTGTGTGTCCCTTCGTTCCTTTGTTCTGTGTCTAAACGCTGCTTAATATAGTTATCATAGAACCCCACCAACTGACCCAATATGTCACTCTGCCAGATATCCCAAGCCTTGTTCTACTGTCCTCTTGTAAGGATGTGAGTTCATGCATGAGGCTCTTAAGAACAACCATGAAAGACAATCCTCACTACACTGTAAAAAAAATTATGCCGAGGTTGGAGTAAAACGCTTGTCCTTTAGCATCCCCCCTATTCAAAGCGATTTTCGCTCGGGATATCCGGAACAAAATTTTTGCCCAGGCTCGCCGGAGCAATAGCGTGGTGACGCTGGAGTACTCTTTACTGGCATTTTCCTCTGGCTGGCCGGACTCATTACGTGGCCCCTCTGGAGAATTTTTCGCGGGTTTTTCACTCCGGCTATCCGGAGCTTTTGTGTGTTACCTACAGAGAACTTTACGAATGTACTTATTTCGTGCGGAGGGAATTTCAGCAAAGCGGACCAGTACTTTTTTAAAGTGTTTGCTCCGCTGTTTACTTATTCTATCCTGATTGTTTCACCATTGGTTAGATGAAAGAAGTCCCTATTCTCAAGCAAGCACTGTAGAGGTACTGTGTACTTCTTTCACCCAGCTCTAGCAGATTGAATTCAAGGAAACACCTGAGTTCTTGGTCTTTCATTTATTTATTCAGAATAAGCTGCCGATTCTGGGTGATTACCCAGCATTTAGGAAAAGGAGACAAGAGTAAACGAACGTGTAAAAAGCCACCAAAACAAAATAAGAGAGATCAGGTGGAAGGAACAGCACTCAAGTTTGAAGCGCAGTGCTTAAAAATGAACACCATATCTGCAAGACGATGCACGACAAACTAAGAAAGCATGGCCACCGAGAACATCTTTGCACCATCCTCGAAGGATCATCCATCAGATTCATTGTTGATGCAAGGGTTGAGCTGATTGCTTCCTGCATAGTATAAAAAATATTTATACATGAGAACTGTAAATCATGCGAAAGGCACGAAAACTGAAAACTCAAACCATGTACACTATACAGTCTGCAAGTCTATGAGAAGAAGCAACTTCGAAAACTGACACACAGACACGCACGCACACACACATGCAGACAGACCAACAGAGGATGAGCGCTCTATGTCATGAAGCACATCTGATATAATCCGGTGTGAGACAGCCACAGCATGATAAAACACACCTCCCTGACGCGAACAAAGTTTAAAACTGGCCAAAGTTTTCTGTATATTTTTAAATCGGTAGCTCTACCTTTGCTTAAAAATTCAAAAGCAATTTTTGACTGAAATAATCTTATTGCGGTACCCGCATATCGCGGGATCGAATCCAGGCTGCGGCTATTGCATTTTTGATGGAGGCGGAAATGTTGTAGGACCATCTGCTCAGGTTCGGGTGCACATTAAGAAATCCCAGGTGGTCGATATTTTCCGAGCCCTACTCTACAGCGTTTCTCATAACAATATGGTGGTTTTGGGACCTTAAAATTTACGTATGAGTCAACCAATTATATTTCGGTACTCTTGTAGACGGCATCGGCAGTGCCCCTCACGACAATTTTCTAACTTTAGCGAATAATTTAGATTATTACTGTTGCATTTCAGTGCATGCTCATCATCATACTTATAGGAAAGTGGGATCTAACAGTTCGCATGGTTGCGGCCTGTCTTTAAGGTAAGCCTAGCCTCATCTCCTTTCCAAAATAATTTTCGAGATAAGTTGGCATTGTTCTGTTTTTTGCACTGCTCGCTCTGTTTTGTTACTTGTTGTTGTGAACATTTTTCAAAGTAGGTATTGTATCAGCATGTATTTAGAGACGAACAGCTTCTAGCCCAAAATAAGCAAAAGTTCACTACAACGTAACAAAATAAATAAGCCATAAAATGCACAAACATTACGCCACCTAAGGCAACTGTATTTTCAGAGAAATGAGGGAAGCCGACCAGTTTACTCTAAAGAAAGGTCCGTGTACACGTTCGGGGGCCCCAGAAGGTAAGGCGCGTGAAACCATCACGACGAGCGATGCAGGCTTGAATAAATTTTCTTTTCCCCTCTTCTGTTCAAAAGCAAGTATCGTTCCATTTCCCAGGCCAAAGCTACGTCACACCACTGTTCGCACTCCCGTCTTCCGCAAGAGAAAAAAACTGCAGCCACAGCCACGGCAGTACGACTCGAAAAAGAAAAAAAAAGCAGCTGCAAAGATTGTAATCTCTTCGATCACACACACTGAAATTGCGGCTAATTTTAAAGACGATAGTCTTTCATGGGGACCTTCGACAAAAAAAATTGGTCTGTCTGTCCGTCTGTCTGTGTGTACGTTTGTCTTTTTGTCTGCCCTCAACGATACCTCAAACGACCGACCCCATCCGCCACATCCACCGATATTGCTCAAGATTCACCGTTCATACTTGTGCGATAGTTAATTAAAAAGCAATCATTGCGCATATCTGAGTTACAATAACATGTCGATGTTTCGTATGTGTGCCTTTATACTAGAGAAGGCACACACAAGGGATTCTAAGGACCGTAGTGCTAAATTCACTGCGCTGACAGTGCAACGAAAAAGGCAAGTGTTACCAACGTTTTGCTAAAAAGACACGGTAGTGGCACCTGTCCGTCGCTTTGCGTTCTACACCTTATCGCCTCCGAGAATGGCACGCATCTTTCTCCGCAGGCGCGCATGCCTTCCTTCGTTTTCGAAGATAGCTGCCAGATGGCGCTCGTGTCTAACGTGCCTTGGAGTTACTGTATATGCTACCTTTAGGGAGCATATACAGTAATCCTAACGGGTCTCGATGCGGTCCTTCACCTCCGCTGCACGCACAAGGCACTCTAACGCAGCGCCTCCAGAATACCATTCACTGATTTTCTTGTGCAGAATATCAAATAAATGTTTTGTTCACTCTCTTCAGATGCAAGACTATCTTCTTTCGACTGCATTCACAGTGTAACATGTAAAATCGGGCCAATTTTTAAAGAATTTTTTTACTTTCTTGCGTTTTCATATATACATAGATACGTATACATATATGGTGCATGCCGTCGACGCCTGCGGCAAAATCCAGCCGAGAGTGTCCACATAAATGCTATCACAATAAAAATAAGTCGGGAAATGCGAGCGACGACCGGAATCCGATAAATCTGCATCGCCGTGCCTTCTGACGTGGAGAGTGCTCATGCGCGCCCTTTCAAGTTCGCAGCCATATCTTTATACTCTCTTGCAGCGTACCATTGATTACATGTAGCATTTCGTACTAGCCGTTGCTTTTTTCATTCCGTCACGCGCTCATTTGAACCGGGGCACGGTTTCGCTGAAGTGTACGTGGCTCGCTTCACAGACAACGCAGAGCAGCCGAGCTTTTCATTTAATATGCTGGTGTTAAAAGCTACTTTCGCAGAGCTTTTCATTTAACTGGCTGGTGCTATAAGCTACTTTCGCAGAAACGTGTCAATGTCTACGTAAGCGTCGTTGGTAGTGGGGAAAAATTAGCTTGTTCTGCGTGACAAAATTCGTTCAATGTTAGGCGCACAGGCTTTTTTTTTCTCACGGCACGATGATGCAAATTATGAAGAAGGTGATGTCAAGTAATATCGATCAGTTTCTCGTGTTCTATCCTTGGGCGCAAATTTCAAACGCCCTTCTCGTTTTATCGTGGTTTGAAGACCTCACGCTTTGAGTACAGAGAAGCAGGGAACGTCTACTCATTCATTAAGACTCTTTGTTCTTTTCAGCTGTCAGTCAGCTTTTTTGAGTACATAACCGCTGCCACGCGTTTTCGTAACTTTCTGGAGCCACGTGGAGCGTGTTGTGATTTACATGCTCTCTATATAGGATATTTCAAGCTCCGAAAAAGCGTGATTACAGATAATACTTGCGAAGACTTGCGTCGTTTGGTATCCTGTCATAAAACTTGCCGATCAGTGCCTGAACCTGTTCACGCACGTGGTTCAACAATTTCACTCTATCTAGTAGAAATATCAGCCGTCATGCAGACACTGCGGAATCAGGGCATCGATGAAGTATATATAAATATCCTGCAAGAAATGTACAGGGGATCAACTGCTACCCTAGTGCTTCATAAAGAAAGCAACAGAATACCAATCAAGAAGGTTGTAAGGCAGGGGGACACAATCTCCCCAATGCTGTTTACCGCGTGCTTACAGGAGGTTTTCAGAAGCCTAGAATGGGAACAGTTAGGGATAAAAGTTAATGGAGAGTACCTTAGTAACCTGCGCTTCGCCGATGACATTGCACTGCTGAGTAACTTAGGGGACGAATTGCAACTCATGATTATGGAGTTACACAAGGAGAGCAGAAAGGTGGGTCTTAAAATTAATCTGCAGAAAAGAAAGTAATGTACAACAACCTCGGAAGAGAGCAGCGCTTCGAGATACGTAATAGTGCACTTCAAGTTGTAAGACTATGTCTATTTAGGGCAGGTAATAACCACGGAGCCAAACCACGAGAGTGAAGTAACTAGAAGAATAAGAAGGGGGGGGGGGGGAGCACATTTGGCAAGCACTCTCAAATTATGACAGGTATATTGTCATTATCCCTCAAGGGGAAGGTATATAAAAGCTGTATCTTGCCGATACTTAGCTACGGAGCAGAAACCTGGAGACTTACAAAGAGGGTTCAGCTAAATTGAGGATGACGCAGCGAGCAATGGAGAGAAAAATGGTAGGTGTAACATTAAGAGACAAGAAGAGAGCAGAGTGGATTAGG